ATATCAACATGACATCATCTACGGTCGCACGCAACAGCATGACGCGCCTGAGCCCAACATGAACACCATGAACCCTGCACGGCCTCCTCGACCGCAAGCACCTAAATGCCAGGACCATGTAATGACGTACGCGCACGCTCCAAGAAGACAACGAAAGCAAGGGAAAAGTGCGGGGACATAAACAAGCCAGCAGAAAGCTCGACAAGAGTCTCAGGAGGGACCTCAAGAGAAAAGTAACCACGTGGTTAACATCTGAGAAAGCACTAGTACATCGCGTCCAGTAAGTGTAACGCAACCAGAAAACTCCTCTGCGTCGATAGCTCATATTGTCATACCAATGTTATTCTCGGCTTTAAAAGCCATACTAGCCGCGATCCCACAGGCTAACAACCTTCCTGAGGTCAAAGGCATTTTGTCGATGGAACAGGTAGTGTTACAATTAGCCACAACAGTCACTGCGCAGGCAAAACATGAATAATTGTTATCAAAGTGTTGCGATCTTCCAATGGAATGCGAATAGTATTCGCCCTAAGTGTGCAGAATTCCGAAAATTTGTGGCTCAGAGCTCCTTTCCAGTCTTATGTATTACAGAGGCCGCGGTAGACATCACTTTTCGGTTATCGAACTACGTTGTGTATATGTTCTCTAGGTCTACAGGACCAAGCAGAGCGATGATATGTGTGAGAAAAGATCTGCCATCAGTACAGTTGAATGCTACATCATCGAATTATCTAGAATATGTAGCATGTGAGGTTAGATTTGGTCGAGTAAATATAACAGTAGTCAGCGTTTATCTCCAGCCTTCCACAAATATCTCGCTTTCTGCATTGACAGCCCTTTTCCAGACGTAAACGAAAGCTATGATATATTGCGGAGATTTTAATGCTCACAATGTCATGTGGGAAATTGCGTACTGCGAACGTCGCGGAAAGGACCTACAAAAAGCAATTCAGGATAGTTCATTATGCTTGTTAAATGACGGTTCAGTGACGTTCCTACGGGGTTTCAATTACTCGAGTTGCCTAGACCTCACGCTCTGCTCACATGATATTGCATCTGGGGCGCCATGGTGAACAGACATTGAAACAAGGGGTAGTGATCATTTACCTATCCTAATACAGCATTTAAAACTACGCTTTACTAAATATAGGCCCTCAGCAAAGATAACTAACTGGGAAGCATTTTGTTATCACATATCACATCAAGCTGATACTGTTACTGACACTGACAGCTTAGTCTCATTGATAGAAAACAAATTAAATCAGTGTTCCAAGTTCGTTAAAATTCCTGAAGGTTACGTTGGAGTAGACGCTGAATACGAAAGACTTAGGGCCATTCGCCGCAGAGCTGAAAGAAAATACAGATGCACGGGTCTACTTGAAAATTACCGCGACTGTCAAAGAACGCATGACCGCATGAGACGACAACAGGATAGGCTAGGCGAAAAGCGCTGGCGGGAATTCTGCACTTCGCTAACGCCATTTACACCCGAGTTAAAATTATGGAATGTTCTACGCTCTTTAAGTGGGACAGTAACACATCAACAACCATTTAGAGCCTTAGCTTTAGTGAAGAATGTACCGGAAACGACCGTTGCGTACGAATTTTGTCAGCATATTACACGACCTAGTGCAGCCGGGCACACGCCTGAATACATTAAGTCTGTTGCGGATAATAAAGCATGGATTACTTTTTCTCTCAATACACATCATGATGACCTAGATCCTCCGTTTTCACTGCAAGAATTAAATAATGCTCTTGCAGTGTGCCGACAGAGGACAGCAGCTGGTCCTGATGGGATAACATATGCAGCATTAAAAAAACCTGGGTCCCGTGGCCACATATTCTTTGTTGAAGATATTTAATAATGCATGGACAACAGAGTACCTTCTACCCTCCTGGAAAGTTGCAAGAGTGGTCCCAATTCTCAAATCCGGAAAAACGCCTTTATCCATGGATTCTTTCCGTCTTGTCAGCCTGACTAGCTGTCTTTGTAAACTTATGGAAAAAATGATAGACGCTAGACTTCAGTGGTGGGTAGAATGTACGAACGTGCTTCCAGAAAATATGGCAGGCTTTCGTAAACGCAGGCTTTTGTAAACTTCAGGCTTTTCGTAAACGGCAGGCTTTCGCAAACTTCAGGATGGGATGACAATAATCAATGGTCTTTTTAAGAGCAGAGGCATAATTCTTTCCCATGAGAGAACATCTGTACTTCCGTTCACAAGGAACTGCCTTAAGAAATTCAAACTTCAGATAGACTCTCAGCGCTTACAACTTGTGCAGCAGCACAAATTTTTAGGGGTTATTTTGGACAGACGTCTGTCTTGGGCACCACAGATAAAATCATTAGAAGACAAAGTCAACTCTCTAATCAATATATTGCGTAGACTGACCGGAGTGAGATGGGGTAGTTCATGTTCTTCATTATTGCGTGTACATTCAGCAATAATTCGACAAAGAATAGCTTACTGTGCCCCGGTTTCACAAGGGATATCACGTAACTTAGAGGAGAGGATTCAAAGATTGTTGGCCAGAAGCCTTCGTATATGTCTTGGTGTACCGCGAGCGTCTGCCAGTGCTTTAGTTATTGTGGAGTCTCGTCAACCGACTTTCCATGCTAGGAGATTCACGGAAACTTGCCGGCATTATCTTCGGTTGGCCACTCAGCACGCTAATCATCCTCTATACCGAGCTATTCAGGAGAGATCAGCTGCAAGAATTCATAATAATATACTAGAATTCAAGAGTTTACTGCCTACGCACGAATACTGGCCTCCATGTGCATCCCACCCACCATGGCGACTATCTATCCCAGATATTACAACTTCGATTTCGGGAATAAATTGTAAGAACGATCTGCCCATAATTGTAATAAAGCAATTGACTTTAACACACCTTTATACTATGAAGACTATATTGACGTGTACACCGACGGATTATGTCTGAATCAAAGCTCTACGTCGGCATTCTTTGTACCTGCATACCAAGTGAGGAAAGCTTTTAACCTCAGCCATTTCACAGCATCCACAATGGCAGAACTCTATGCAATACCCTGTGCTTTATGCTTCATATGTTTACAGCCAGGTCCACTTCGATGGGTAGTTGTCAGTGACTCACAGTCCTCATTAGTTTCTTTAAAAGGAATCAGCTTGGGCAACAAAGCTAGTGAGCTCGCATATGAAATACAGATGGCTTACGCTATAGCAAAAGATTTAAACCATACCATAATGTTCCAGTGAGTACCGAGCCCCTGTGAAATTGCAGGAAATGACATAGCTGATCACATAGCACATACAGCGCATCAGGAGAATAATAAATCACTGCTACCTCTATCGATGAGCAATGCACGATATCTGATAACTAAGCTGAGCTCTCAACTGTCCAAGGAAATCTGGTTAGAAAATGATGCCAAGATCTCTCAATTATATAGCATTGATGCCGGTATAAAATTTGATATTCCGTTAAAGGTTAGCCAATCGGTAGAAACCGTCATCCATAGGCTTCGACTTGGTACAGCCTACACGAGGGCTTTCCTGTATAGAATAAGGAAAGCTGGCAGTCCTACCTGCTCATGTGGAGAAGCTCAAGAAGACGTGGAGCATATTCTTCTGCATTGTAAAATTGTAAAAATCATGACGTACCTTGAAAGAACCTTTTTCAAAAACTCAATTCTTTGGATAAGCGACCTCCATCAATTGCAAAAATCTTGGGTCTATGGCCAAAAGGAAAGCTACAAGCCACTGCAGCACGTGCAATCGTTCACATTCTGGAGGAATCAGAAATAGCTCGAAAGTACTAAACAAACAACAAATGATAACCACGGTATGTTTCAAAACAGTATTTTCCTGCTTCACGACAATATTTTTGGGAAAACCTTTCTGAAAACATGTCAGTATTTAAGCGACAAGATCACCTTAAACGTTTTATTGAACTTTCACGTTTTTGTGAGAACACTTAAAGTGGCGTGATTACTTGTGTGGTTTTTTGTTTTGTTTTTTACAAACTCAGTGTGGTGCGGACACAGTTCTACGCAGTGTGGACTCATTTCTGTGTGGTGTGGACACTCAGTGTGGAAAAACGTGAACTCATTGTGTAATTGTTGTGCTATGTACTTATGTATAGCCTTGTGTTTGCTACTGAATGTGCGATGTTGACTTTTGTGCAAGAGAAGAGGAGTAGCCGGCGCCACGCATTGGAACCAGCCTCTCCTTACATACATTTAATAAAAAAATTGTTCTCGCGGCTATTCACTCTGACTTCCTTTACTTCGTTCGGCACCAGTGCCTCTAGCTGTACAGACACGGTTTGCTGGTTAAGGCATCTCATGTTGTCACTAGCGATAACTGTCATGAAAAAGATGGTTATTACCTCGGTATTACGCAAAGATCGCATGGTGGGCTCACTAGAATTGGGTGACGTGCTCAGAAATCGTCTCTTTTCCTTGTGGTTTCTCACAAGCTCTAAGTTGTCGTCCCGTGAGTCATCATTGCTAACGTTGTATTGTTCGGTGTCATCAATGTCAGTGCCACTCTAGGAGCTGTAGCACTTTCTTGAAGCAACACCCGTGGTCATTCCGGTATCCGGTATTCTTCCGTGGGGCTCTACCTCCATCGCACACCAGCAGGAGACCGCGCTTGACAGGCGAAATGAAAATCATTCACAAAAAACCATGAAACTCAAATATTCGGCAATTTGTCCCACCAGCACTTCGTCGTCGTCCTCTTTTTTGTGAATTCTTTTGTGAATTCACTTAAAGCTTTTATGAATTTTATGGAGAAGCACGGGAAGGGATTGACTTGCATTTCTAGCGCCAGCCTCCACTCTTTCTCACCCCTCGCTCAGCAATATTAGAAGCTAGATCGGGCTCAACTATCTCGCTCAGTTGGCGGGTCCACTACGGGGAAGATAAAGACAGCTATAGTTGTGGCGGGCAGAGAACGGAAGCCGGAGTTAGCTACACCGAACAAGTCAATCATGCAATCTTCGAATCGGGCAACACATGTTTTCCGTGACTCTGCGGTATGCTAAGCCGAAGATCTATAATTTCGCGGAGCTTTTGGAGTGTTTGATAACGGCAACTGGTGAGCACGAAAAATTCGACCAATTTCATTTGAGCAGGTATTGATTTTGCATGAGTACATATAAGTAAACCCAGCTCTTTGCAAGGCTGACTGGACTGACAGTAGTGAGGTGTCACTTGACTAATTGGTGAAGACGGCAGTCACGCTCTTGTCAGGAAAATGTCTTTATTGGAAGGCTTGAATTCGAATTGGCTCGGCTACATAGTTTTATTTTCTTTTACTTTTGGCGTGTAGTTCCAACGATGTCAGGTAATTGCAGGCTCCTTGCTGCGCATGAAATTTTAGTAGCCGCGGTTTCAAAGTTTGTGAGTCTTTACTTCTAATAGTGTATCTAAAATACACGTAGTGGACTAAATTCTAAAACTATTACAGAGAATGTCACTAGAGCGAATATTTTGGCACCTGAACTTTTATTCGTTAAGGAAATGCTGTCCCTGACAAAGACAAGTCATCTTACCGAATTACTGTTTCCAGCGACGTTCTTTTTCCAAAAACTTCTGATCGCTTCAAGCCTCTCCGTGCCTCTGTACTTCAGTCTGATTTAGTATCTCAAGTTCTGTAAGAAAACTATGCGCGCCGTCATAACAAACATGACTGAGTCAAATACGATGTATCATACTCGTGACTGTTGATAATTTGCGCATTGGTTCGGATATTTTGGGCTCAATGTTCGCTCATAATGTGCATATGTCAGTTGTAATTTGAAGCTGTGTTTATAGACTGACACTTTATCACTACGTGTATGCATCAGTGTTTCTATACAAAACATGCAATAAAAAAGTGCGTTTTATTTGTGTCGATCGAGTGCCATTTTATTGAGAAATCATTCAGCTCTTCTGCCTTTTCAGAAAACACGAGCAAAATAAAAAAAAAAGATTTAAAAATTTATTGCCAAGCGGCCAGCCAGCCTGAAAGAAGGCACGAGTAGAGTCCACTTACATGCGAAGTGAAAAATAGGGCTCTCGCAGCTACCTTCCTCCTCTCAATTTTTCCTTCTTCTCCTATATTTAGGGTGATAACCAGCGACATCATAAAATTTTGCGCTTCTGATTTATTTCTAGTAGGATGCCCGCCAAACGCCAGTAGTTAAAGCTGCGCTGCCGCTGCCAAGAGCGAATACATGGGGCGTATAACGAGTTTCCGACCCCTTGCCGGCTGATCAAGCGAAAGAGCTGAAGCTGAGTGACGTGTTCCACGAGTTACACCTAGGCGTTCCACGTTGGCGTTCTTCTTCTCTGCCTTCAACGCTTCATATCACGAAAGCTCCAGCAGCCGACGTGTTAGACTCGTAGACCTGCTTTTCGACGACGGTCTACAACACTCCCAACTGTTTTTATACAGTGAGTTTTTGTTTTTCTGGGTAAAACTCGCAAAAGCAAATGTTAGTAATGCAACTTGCGTTTTATGTTGTATTCTTCCCTGTGACAGCTGAGTGACAATACGGCTTACTGCCTTAGTTAGTAATGCATTAAGGCTTGCTGCCTTAATGCATTAGTCCACAGCTGACAATTTATACAGCAGCGTGGAGTGTTGTGAACATGAATCGCAATGTTGGTATTGAATACAGAGCGCGTAACAAATTTGTTAGAATGTGGAGAAGTAGCTAAATTGCGTATTTTTTCTCTATGAGCTGAGTTAGCATTTTTATGCGTGCTTGAGAAGAAAATACTATACATTTACGAGTTGCGTTATCGTCATATTCGCTGCGACAAACAGCGAAACGAAGAGACGCAGTTAAGCAATTATTCCTTCAACACTGATAAGGAAGCGTAGCTTGTGAGACTCCGAGGAAGAAAAAAAAAGTAAGCTGGCATGCCGATAAGGTACATGTCTCGCAGCACGCAGCTTTGAGGACTGCAGCTTAGTAAAAGAGAGCCATTTGCGCAGAAACGCGAGACTGTTATACTTGTTTTCTCATATGCGACTGAGACTCTGTGAATTTCATGTGAATGAACAGTACTCTTTTCGTGCTGCTGTGTAGCCCTAGCCAAATAACAAAGTCTTGTTCTGTCCTGTGAACTCGTGCTTGCGACTTTGCAACAGGTGAGTGGTCACTCAATCTTTAACAGTGAGGCAAGGGCATGGTGCCACTAATGCTAGTGCCGTTTCAATGAACGCCGTTTGCTCTAAATTTACCTGCCGTAGACGTTTGTTTCTTGTTCCTCTTAACGTTTTTATACAAGAAATATCTAGGTGTCAAACCTGCCGTCCAAATGCTTCGTCCAGCGCTTATGTGCTCTGGCCTCCAGAACAAATAATTAGCAGCACCGCAGGGTATTGTTTCGTCATACTCGAATACAAGTTAATATAGTAAGGCTTCGCTGCCGATTTCGCCACTCAAATATGATTGTAGCAAAACTTTTCTGTTCCCTTGTAAAGCATCCGTGAGCTATTTGCACGACTCATACATTGACTAAAATTCCTTAAACTCGGTATTGAAGCAAGAGCGTGTACGTTTTCTGTTCATATAAGTTAACACCATCGACCACAAGTGAAAAATTTCAAAATAGTAAATGACCCTAGTTCATATAATTTTTGGTGAGACCCGTCGGGGTAGATCACTCAATATTTTTGTGCAGGTTGCTTTAGTTCACCGGTTTGAGACACCATGCAACCTTCCTCCTTCATGAGATGTGTGGTGCCGGCTTACCAGAAATAAATTGGCACTGCAACGAGCTCATTTTACACCTGTCCCTCGAGAAACGTTGATGTGATTTCCATGAGCTGAGTGGCCTGTAACACAGGCACATGCAATATCATTAAATGAAAAGTACTTGTTGAAAGTAACTATATCTTCTTCAACTCATTACAGTGCACCACGGCGAAGAGGGCCTGCATACACATATGTAGAATACCGTAAATGAGTAATTATTTCAATAGAATATATTTATTTATTTTTATTTTATTCAACTTATTCATTCTCAAATGTGAGTACGCACGTTCTCAAGCAGCGCTTTTGACATTGTCAAGAGCGCTGCTTGATAAGTAAGGTCAAAGCAGTCTGGCGAAAATCTTTTGTAAATAATCCTATTATAGCTTTGTATACATCGCAACATGTTTCTTCACAGGGTGTGACGTTTTTTTTTGATGCCATGTTCGCTACATTGCGATTGTCATAATCTACAAATCACATTACACCTTGATGCGTAGCAAGGCATGTAAACTTATGTCTGTCGATGTGTCGAATGACATTAGATGTAAATGATATTGAGCCTTTTACTCTGAGAGGGGTTACTCGGTCTAACACTGAGGCTGTTTCATTGTCTGCTTGTCTCGCAACGGATATAATACACCTTACGCCACAGAGTCCGGGAGAGCGTATGGTGGTTTTAAGTGACGTGAAACGGTTTGACAAAAATTTAGCTGGAAAGTTCTTATTAAATACCAGAACGACGAAGCATGAGGATGTTTTCTCAAATTGTGACGCTGCTACTGAAATATTTCACTTATAAATGTTTTGCTCAAAAATCCTTTTCGGGTGCAAGTACGACAGCCAAGGATTATAAACGACTGGAGACTACGTTTCATGAAAAAAAAAAGGACGTTTCGCCTCAGTGGAGCCAAGTCTTTGCTTATTCACTTTACTTTGCACTTTGCTTTATTTCTGTCCAGTTTTGCTTTCCTTTCCTCGCCTTTTTCTTCATTGTCTTCCTTTCCACTTTTTGTGTTTTGCAGTTTATTTTCATTTAATTCTATTTTTCTTCCCATTTCTTTCTTTCTTTCTCTCTTTACCTCTCGCTGCTTGCATCCTCTTAATTTTTTGCATGGTTTGTGTTGTCCTAACTATCTATCCATAGTTACGATTACCGCACTATATGTTACCATCTAGGCACTCGAAGAGCAACAGGAAGAAGACTTTCTTTTAGCGCGAGTGCTTGCTCAGCATGCTACGGCCAGTTCTGCCTGCATTAAGCTAAGTGACGACGACCGCAAATGGCAGGCAGCCTGCCCCCCTCGTGTGCTCCACACTTGCAAAAGTACGCACACCAGCGGCGGCGGACAATTAGGGGCGAAAAAGCAGCTTTCGGGATTCCATGAAAGCTTTCCCTGAAAAGCGATTGCCCTTGTTCTCGTTTCGTTCATCAGATCAACGTCATGTCAGCAATTATCCAGTAGCTTCCGCTCTAGTAACGTGGCTTTGTGAGAAGGTTTACATGATACAATATTTCTGGCGCTTCAGCGCTTCAAAATGTAAGAGCAGTGGGTTGTCTGCGGAGCGCCGAAACCCAAAATGACAATCATGTTCTAAGTTTTTAACTAAAACAACTTGCTCTATTGACATCAAGGCTCCCGAAAAACAAAAACAAAACATAGTTACAGAATCCTCTGAGGAGCTACGGCTGTTTGAGCAGGGAAACGAAAATTGCCATTGATTATTTCTCATATGCACATGCTCTTTGTTATCGCTACTTCAGAGGAGGTAGTCGTAATGCGGGCATCCGTATAGCAGGCGTTGTGCCCCTCCAGGTGGCAGTGGCCAGCTTGTTTTCTCCCTCTTTCCTCTGTGTCCTTGTGTATCTGTGCATGACAATCAAATAATAATAATAATAATAATAATAATAATAATAATAATAATAATAATAATAATAATAATAATAATAATAATAATAATAATAATAATAATAATAATAATAATAATAATAATAATAATAATAATAATCCGCATATCTTTACACACCTAACCTGTACACGGTACTAAGAAAGGCATTTAAATATCTCATATTAGTCTGTCATACTTTTTTTCACTTTAATTTGTACTTGGAATGCGGGGAAAACTTTGTCAGAGAACAAATACCACAGTCTAATATAAAACATGTTATAAGTAAATGACAGTACGTGGTTCTGCTGTTTTCAGAAACACCTGGTGAAAATGCAGAGGCGGAAACCTGCGTGTCAGATAATAGATGGAGTTCCGAGGTGCGTGAATGTGAACCCCGATTTATTAAGAGAAGGTCCCAGGTTCAGAGCAAAGAAAGGAGACGTCGTGCTCACAACGTTTCCGAAGAGTGGAACGCATTGGCTCATGTACATCACGCAGTTCCTTCTCAGAAATGGAGAAGAGATGACAACGTACCAGGAATTCACCAAAGAATGGCGCTTCCTGGAGTACACGGACATCAAGGACTTCAGATCGTCTCTACCCCTGAGGACCTTCGCTACACACTTGTTGTTGACAAGCGAGATATAACGGAGGAAGCTAAGTACGTCTACCTCGCGCGCAATCCGTGGGACGTGTGCGTCTCCTTCTACCACATGATGACCAACATGAGCACTTTCGACTTCCGAGAGGGAACGTTCGAAGATTTCGTCGACACATTTTTAAGGGGCAATTTCGGCTACGGTGACTACTTCGAACACGTGGCTTGGGGCTATGCTCTGAGGGAGAAACCGAACGTACTCTTCCTGACTTACGAGGAGCTAAAGAAAAACACCCGCAAGGTTGTGCTGAGGCTGGCGTATTTCTTGGGGGAGTGGTGCGGTCACTGTTTGGAGGAAGATGAAATCTTACTCCAAAAACTTCTCGAGAAATTGCAGCCAGAGTATATGCGCAACGTGGTGGTGGTTGACCTGAAAGGTGATGGTAACCCCCAATGGGACGTTGCACTTTCGCGCTGAGGTCACCTGCATAGAAGGTCACGAAGGAGACAAGCACAGGTACGCGCTCGTCAGAACTGGCAAAACCGGAAGCTGGAAGGAATACTTCACGGCCGATCTCTTAAGAAAAATGGAGAATAGAATTCTGGAGGCGGAGAAGCAATCTTCTTGTATGTGCTTGTGGAAAGACATTCGAGCCGAAGCAATCAGAGCTATACAGAATGCCCAATAAACACACCTTGTGTGGCACATTTATCATGTCTTGTTTTGTGGTTATAGTAAGATTTGATGGGGTGACTTAATCGTAAAAAGAAGAAAAAGATGCGAAAATGGTGCAGTTCTGCTCATACTAGTGATCTGTTACATCTACAGACCTGCATACGTTGCAGAAGTAACCAATTACAATTCGAAGTACTACAATAAACACGTAATTTATTACAATTTTCAATTACAACTTCAGGAAAGCAACTGAGCAATTACAGAAGTACATTAAAAGCATGGTTGATACCTCCGTAATAGGATTCGGTGAAACGCGAAACTAAAGAGCGTACTACAGAAGTAGTTTAATGTTTACTCTACATTGCATAAAAGAGCTTGCGCAATGTCTATTAATGCTTGACAGCTATAGCAGCACTTAACGTAAGCGCATCCACCGGAACCTAGACTGACGCTTAGTCACACATCTCCATAGCAACGAACAACGTCCATCGTTAATGATTATAAAAACCCTTGTGGTCATATGTAGATGCTTGTGGAGGGCGTATTAATTAACAGTGAGAGCGGAACCAAAGAAATCGATGCGACAGCGAGAGAGCGCGATTGGCTGGACACCGAACTTGGGCTAAGTTCAACTACTCGCGCTGTGTTGGAGTTACTGAACACTAATGTCTGGCCGGAGAAAAACGCCGCGCGCGTTGTGTCTTCTCTTAGGCCCACCGCAAATATTTGCTCAATAAATACGTAGGTTACAACGTCCCAAAACTTCATATGACAATGAGAGACGCCGTAGTAAAATGATTCTGAAATTCCGACCACCTGGAGTTCTTTAACGTGCATCCATATATGAACACACGGGCCTACAGCGTTTTCGCCCCTTCAAAAATGCAGCTGCCAGGATTCGATCATGTGAACTGCGAGTCAGCTGCTGTGTACCTGCTGTAATTATTCACGTGACAAGCGTAAGCGGAGAATTCGGAGTTAAAGCCATGCGAAGCCGATGGGCGTCAGAGCTTTTTGGCATGAGTAGATGCTATAGGCACCCGGCAATCCAGTTTACGAGATCTGATGGTAGTGCCAGATCACACAGCCTAGTGAGTAGGCGCAACAAAACCGAGTCTTCCAACGCGTAGCCTAGCGAGTAGACGCAGCAACACTGAACTTGCACGTGCCTATAATTTCCTTTTTTAGTTGTGCGCAAGGGAGTCACGGCTGATTATGTAAGCTCCCAGGAAGCGTTCTTTGAAGACGTGCCAAAAAGGGCACTGACACTCCAGCGTGTCACATTGTTCAGCGAGCGTTCCATTTTCTTACCATCCCTGGCGGTCGGTACCACCAATGCTGAGGCGGCCCAAAGAGCTTCGTCGCGCCCTCCGCTCCAATGTCGGGTGCCTATTAGTGACGCCGATGCTCGTGGTAAGGTCGCCGCCCGGTGGCGTGATAAGGCGCTCACAAAATTGCGCTACCAAGTTTTACGGACGCGCAGAAACGACGCGTGCAACGAACTAATCGCGGATGCCATGGTAATAATACAATACCGCACTTTACTAATAACGATGTGAGAGCACAATGATAGATATAAAAGGCGCCTTAGATGCGAAGTGGCTCTTTGCCTAGCCTGCGTAACGCCGTCCTTCCGTCCGCATCGCTCCTCTCACCGCAGCTGTAGGAGCAGTGCAAAGTAGCTCACGCCCTCCTATAATGCGCGGTGACGTCTCTCGCCCTTGCCTGCCGCGCACTCGCCCCGTGTAAGCTCTCTCTCGCTTCACCCTCCCCACCACTCGCAATGCTCGAGCCCACTCCCCACGGGGGCATCATCTCACCCATGCCACATCTCTCCATTTGTCGGCGAGAAGCCACGAGCTGGCGGGTGCGCACGCTGCGTGCGTCTCAAAACTCTCGCGACACCGACATTGTGGACAGTGAGCTGGTGCTTGCCTCGTGATCGCAATGACGAGCGGGACGCCATCGTGGCATGCTTCACACTAGTGTGCGCGTACCTTTCACGGCTGTCGCCGGCGTTTCAACGGCTAGCGAAGCCGATCGCCTTCTCGAATGGCGACATCAAGACCGATGAGGCACGGGTCAGGAAAGCAGAACGCAAGCGTCGGCAGTGAAAGACCAGCGACACCGACGAGGTGCGAGTCAAGAACACCGATCGCGTTCGAGAATACAGACGGCGTGCTAGTGACACCGACGAGACGCGAGCCAAGAAACCCGAAACAAGCGTCTTCAACCGTCACCCCCGGAAAATCTTTTCAGGCCTGCGCCCAGCAATTTGACGTCATTTCCGGCCGGCCGACTCTCGGGGAAGCCGCAGCGGCAGCGAGCGCAGCGCGGGCGGCGGTGGTGACGGTTCGGCGGCGTGGTGTTGACGGTGTTTCACGTTTGTTGCTTTCCGTTGTTGTTTTGCGGCAATTTCGTTTCCGTGCGTGATGCTGGAGTGATGCGACAATGCCGAATAAGTGTTGTGTACCCGGATGCACCGGCAACTACAAAACAGGAAAGAAGATACAAGTGTTTTCCTTCTTTAAAGACGCCGACGCTCTCAAACAATGGCTACGCGCCATTCCTAGGAAGGACTTCGTGCCGACTTCGTGCACTAAGGTAAGAATTTGAGATGCTCCTGTTCTTAGCTTGTCGTTGCTTGTTCGGGTAGAAATCACCTATGATGGGAAATACTTGAGCGTGTGGCCGCCGGGCCTCGCGAAGCGCTGACGCCAGCAGCGTTCGCAGCAAGAATGGTCAGCTGCGCTTTGTTCACTAACAGTGCCGTGGTGTCGTCCATTCTTGCAAGCTCTCGGTGGAAGCGCTTCGTGGAGTGCGGTGACATCACGCTCCCGTGTTTCCTTTCATGTTGCTTGTACCGCTTAGCGCAGCGCTTTTATTTAGATGCTTGCGAAACGTAGGTAGACTTTGTTTTAGCTACACGGACTGTAAACGCGGTCATGCAAACGGGAGCGCATTTTTTTCTTTTGAGAAGTGGCGTCTCAGACGTTCTTGAAACGTTTTTGCAGGTGTGCGCGAATCATTTCGACGCTTCATGCATTGAGAAGACGACATCGTAGACGGATCCAAGGACAGGGAGAGTTATTGAAGTTGCACTCCCAGTACCACGGTTGCGTCCTGGATCTGTCCCAACGGTATTTTCCGGCTGTCCGTCCTACCTATCAGTACGAGACCAGAGCACGAGAGAAACCCCTGACGCCAAGAGGAGCCGACAAGAAGCCTCCTAACTCGCCCGTGCTGTAGAAAAGTCGCTGGCGTCATATGAAGCGGAGCAAAAACGAGACCGGTTTTCGTCCCTCGAAGAACTAAGGGCTCGCCTGCAAGGGGTGTCAGTGTCTCCAAAGTGGACTGTGATTCATAAAGAAGAGTGCTCCATGTTTTTGAACATTATCGACTATCGTGAACCTTGTTTGAATGCGTCATTGACCGTGTTTGCAAACCTTGAAGTCTTTGCCTGCTATCAAGGTTCACCAATCAAGAACCTTGGTAGCGCTGTTGTACCAGACTCAGTTCAAAAAGTAAGTTCCTTGTTGGAAATTTTGAACAACCTGTCGATGCTGTCTGAGGAGCGCTGCACTTATTGCCACCTGGCTCAAGCAATACATTCCCTTGTTTGAGCCTTGTTTCCAGTTTTGTATCTCTTTACAAGTTGTTAGCTTTTAAAGGTGCTGTACTTTTTTCTTTTTTTTTAACTCGAACTGCCTCGGTGCCCACTGTAGCAGTTGTACAGTCCGTTTTGGTACCTAAGCTGTGTACACTTTCCTTGTGCACTCTGTGTACAGACATGTTGTGCACTGTGATTTGTTTTTTTCTTAGATTTTTGTTTGATTTTTTCTCTAGGACATGCACCTACCTGTGGCAGTACAATTACTTTTCTTTCTGTCATTTATCATGCTGTGGACCACAATTTAGTCACCAGTGTTCTTTTGTATTGTATTTTTTGGCAAGTGTTTGAACCTGATACCTTGTGTTGCTACTGCTACTATGATAAACGAATGGTATGTTCTCCTCTAACCTACAATTTAAATGAAAGTGTGATTTTTCTGTTCCAAAGCTCGGGGATGTTTTTGTCGTTGCTTGTTCGGGCAAGATATTGTGTTTTGTACTTTTGGCATATTTTCAGCATTAAGGGCAACATCTTGTGTTGCCTGTCGTCTGCCTGGACCGAGAACAATGTGCACTGTGATATTTGTACAGACGGCGTCTGGCTGTGATAAATAAATACGCATTATTCCATTCACGATATTCATTATTTCTTGATACCTTGATAAGTTCCCCCGCAACGGTGGCTCAGTGGCTAAGGCGTAGCGCTGCTGAGCATTAGGGCGCAGTTTCGATACCCGGCTGCGGCGGCCGCATTTCTGATGGAGGCGAAAAGCAAAAACGCCCGTGTGTACGAGATTTCGGCTCACAATAAAGATTCCCAGGTAGTAAAACTTGATCCTGAGCTCTCCCCTACGGCGCGCTTCATCGCCTGCGTTGCGTCGGCGCGTTAAACCATACAATCAATGGATACCTTGATAAATCGTGCGGACATGGTGTCAAGGAACCTCGCCCGAGTCGGTAGGCGTGAAGGGCGCTCGCGGCTGGCGCAGCCACCCAGCGAAGGGCGGCCGGCCGGCCGGCGCGATGTGACGTCGTCGACGTCACGTCACGTGACGCGCAGGCCTGAAAAGCTTCCGGGGGTGACGCTTCAACGCACCCCGCCTCCCAAGGCTTTGCGTTTCAAACAAACGTTCACTCGAGTAAACACTACACCGACTTTCGCTTCACTGCGTTCTTGCAGCACCCACGTCGACGCCCATTTCAAACGAATCAACGCTGTACGCACCGCTGCTGCTTCGCATTCCATCAGGGTTCACTTTGCGGAGATAGCCCATAGTTCTTTAGGGGCGAAGCTTCTTATAGCGACAACCGTTTGTCCTTCGTAGCCATTGTAGTGTGTAACAAGTATATCATTTTGACCTCCAAGAAGGCGCCGGTGAGAGATTTCTTCTGTGCGTTGTTGAACAATAAAAAATAGTGCTTAA